CATCGTACAGTTCTCCTCGACCATCTGAAAAGTTTGGGCCTCTCTGTCAACTGGACAAAGAGCGCACTTCAACCCAGTCAGACTATCTCCTTCTTGGGTATAGAGCTAGACTCGGTCTCAATGACGGCTCGTCTGTCTACACAGCGCGCGCGCCGTGTGCAGCGTCTAGCCGCATCTTTTCAGATGAACAGACTCACACCTCTGAAAACTTTTCAGAAGGCGCTGGGTTACATGGCCTCAGCCTCCGCAGTGCTCCAGCTGGGGTTACTGCGCATGCGCCCGCTTCAGTTCTGGTTGAAGAGCAGTGTGTCTCACCGCGCGTGGACCACGGGCCGCCAGCTGATAAAGGTAACGCAGACCTGTATCACAGCTCTGCAGCCATGGACCATGACAGAATGGTTTCAGCGGGGCGTTTCCATGGGGACCTTTTCTCGCCGAAAAGTCATTTCGACAGACGCATCCAACATGGGTTGGGGTGCGGTCTGCGAGGGCTCACCGGCCTTCGGCCCCTTGTCAGCTCAGGAGAGTCTCCTCCACATAAACTGTTTGGAGATGCTGGCGGTCGAGAACGCGCTCACGCGCTTTCTGCCGCGCATTCACGGTCACCATGTGCTGATCCGTTCGGACAATATGGCTGTGGTCTCCTATCTAAACCGTCAGGGCGGAGTCAGATCCAGAATTCTCTTCCGGCTGACAGAACGCATCCTAGTTTGGTCCCAGTGTCACCTGCTCTCGCTCAGAGCGACGCACGTGCCGGGCCATCTGAACGACGGTCCAGACAGTCTGTCCAGGAACCCCATTCCCCCTGGCGAATGGTCCCTGCACACTCTTACAGTCCAAAAGCTGTGGCGAATATTCGGCAGAGCAGAGGTGGACCTCTTCGCCTCAGAAGAAAACACCCACTGCCCAATATTTTTCTCAAAACGCGAGGACGCGCTAGCCCAGACCTGGCCCAGCCGCCCGCTTCATGCATTCCCTCCGGTTTCTCTGCTACCGCAGGTGCTTCAGAGAATCAGGGAAACACGCCACTCGGTGCTCCTCATAGCCCCGCGTTGGGAAGGTCAGACTTGGTTTCCGGAGCTCACTCAGCTGTCACAGACAGCCCCGTGGCCCATTCCAGTCAGAACAGATCTCCTCTCCCAAGCTCGCGGCACGATCTGGCATCCCAACCCAGAGCGCTGGGCGCTTCATGCGTGGGTGATCAACGACTACCCGTTGCTTTGCCAGAAGGAGTGTTAAACACGATCATGCAGACTAGAGCGGCTTCTACTAGAAGGCTCTATGCGTCTAAATGGTCTGTGTTCTCTAAGTGGTGCACCGACAGAAACTTGGACCCACGGTCATGCGAGGTTCCTTCCTTGCTAGTTTTTCTCCAAGAGATGCTGGATAAGGGCTGGTCCCCTTCCACTCTCAAGGTGTATGTGGCAGCCGTCGCAGCGTTCGCTGAACCCCGGTGCGGCCAGTCACTGGGCAAAGATGGCTTAGTCATCCGCTTCCTCAGGGGAGCTAGAAGGATGAACCCCTCACGCCCCCCGTCGGTGCCGATTTGGGACCTTTCCATAGTTCTCGAAGCTATGAAAGCCCCCCCATTTGAACCGTTAAACACCGTGGAGCTCAAATACCTTTCGCTCAAGACTATCTTCCTGCTCGCGCTCGCGTCAGTGAAGCGTGTGGGGGACCTTCACGCGCTGTCCAGCAGCGCTTCCTGTCTGGAGTTTGGGCCCAATGACTCCTTAGTCGTTCTCAAACCTAGACATGGTTATGTCCCAAAAGCGATTGGTACCCCATTCAGGGCACAAGTTATTTCTCTATCGGCTCTGCCTGCATCCGATAGCGAATCTGACTCTAATCTCCTGTGTCCGGTCAGGGCCCTGAGATTATACTTTACTCGCACTGCTCCGGTCAGACGAGCTGAGCAGCTTTTTGTTTCGTTCGGTGGGCGCACCAAGGGGTTGGCAGCCTCGAAACAGACTCTGTCCAGATGGATAGTTGATGCCATTGCAGCCGCATACGCGTCAAAAGACCTGCCATGCCCTCTGGGCATCAGGGCCCATTCCACTAGAGGCATGGCCTCATCGTGGGCTTGGTCCAGCGGAATTTCCATTCATGATATTTGTGTGGCAGCAGGATGGGCTTCCCCCTCCACCTTTATCAGATTTTACAATCTGGAAGTTCCCGCCTTGCAGGCTAAACTACTAGCAGTCTAGTATGTTACAGCTCTTCTGGTTGAGCTGCACTATAGGGAGTTATTCGCGCAGACCGGTCTCGTTCGTCCCTCCTTATCATGTGCTTATGTACTTCACAAATCCCCGGCCCGCTCCGCTGGCCTTTGTCACATGTACATATTTTATTCCCACTCATAAGGGTTCCCCGGGGTCCCCCCTGGGACTCATAGTGGATGCTTAGCACGCACGGCGTTGACCAGGTGTTCCCGTAGCGTAAGCTAGCTTACGCAATACGAGAGAACCTCTCGTAAGAGAACGAATCGGTTACCTAACGTAACCTCGGTTCTCTCTAGATGAGGGAACGAGTATTGCGTTCCTGGCCGTGCTTGTGCTACTAGCGTTCTCGCTTCATTCTATGAAAACCAGAATTTACAGCCTGAGAGGCGAATTTATACTCTCTGGCCACGCCCGTTTCGGCGGGCTCTGACGCAATGAGAGCAGGTCAGACTCCCAATGAGCTGCTAGCTAGCCTGCTCATGCTCTGCTGCAGCTGAACTGCGTTGACAATAGATACAAAATTATAGGATAATTTTTGGCTTCAATTTCTCAGAAAAGATTAATCTTTCCCGTAGCGTAAGCTAGCTTACGCAATACTCGTTCCCTCATCTAGAGAGAACCGAGGTTACGTTAGGTAACCGATTCGTTCGTGTCATATTTTATTACCATTTTCTAAACTACAGGGAATAAACTGTGATAATGTGAGAAATGTTGACGGTGTCTGAATACATTTTGGTTTGACTGTACATGGGGAACAGGACTGTAAAATAAAGTGCTAACAAGATCTGAGGATTTATATATGGTTTTAGAGTGAATGTTATGGAAGAGTGAGAGAGGAGATGACTTTTAAACAGTTTATTGAGCCACACGGCAGGCAGGACAGGAGAGGGTGGGAGAGGAGGTGGACACAATCCAACAGGAGGCAATTAACAAAGCACAAAGACGTGTGGTGCTTCTCAATTCTTATTTGTGCATCCTCGTTTCCTTTCCTCACGTCTCAGCGCCACCCCCTGTAGGAAGCGAGGGAAGACTGCAAGGAAAGAAAATGAGGACGGAGGAATCTAATGAAAGCTTTTTATACATTGGAATACTTGATCACTCGAGCGTCACTTCATAGCGTCGTCAGCTGCGCTCAAAGGATCTGCCTTTATGTTGTATTAGTTTGGTTATTTAATAAATTCATATTGGGGGGCGATTTCGGATTCAGCTAATAAATAAGGAGCAGAGAACATGAGGAACAGGGGCCTCATTTATAACCGTTGCGCACGCACAAACAGGCCCTGAAAGAGGCGTACGCCACTTCTGACGAATAAGTTGTGATTTATAAAAACAAACTTGATGGGAAAATTTGCGCACCTGCACGCAAACTCTGACCCATGCGTACGAACGTTTTGGAGTTGGAGCAGTTTGGCGACACCGATGGTGAGCTGGAGTTAAATGTTTTTTTGGTCACTTTTAGACAGAAAATCTAAAGAAAATTATACATATACAGAAAGATAATAAAAATCTAATTTCACTCACCAAGCCTATCACTTGAAGCAAATATCCATCCCTTCTTATATGTCCGCGCCAGCGAGCGCGTTGGGCCGTTTAGTGAAACTGACGCATATATAGCCTATCTAATGGCAGATGAAGTAAAACCGTAAATCTTCATTATGAGTCCTAATCATAAATACATTGCTTGTTCACAATAATACTTTAACTAAATAAAAGAATGTTTTAAACTATGTTTTACTTCTGATATAAACATTTCGATTAAATATGCCATTCAATGGAGTTAAACACTTAAACTACATGAAACCATTACTGAGAAGTAACAAAAAAATATATTCATTAAATATAAATATTTGTTGTGGATGAACACTTTCCCTATGGCATGCTGTGTTTTAATGTTTTAACTACAGAGATAATGGCTAATGGCTTATCATTAGCAGATTGTCTGAGAAAAATAGTTTTGTGCAAATAATGCACAACAAGGTCTATCTGTTTCCATTAAAAATATAAATCAATTAAAAATACTATTTGGCCTGTGGAAAAGATTGAGAAAAACTTTCTCTGAAATGTATTTTACACTATTTATTTATTCAAAAACAAGACAAGGATAGGCTACTAAATTATTTTTATTAATGTAATGTGACGGCACATCCGTATTTCATATTTTCCTAATGTCTCTGATTTGCCATAATAAAGAACTAATTAATAAATAACAACTCTGTGCTTATCATGATGCCCGATAAAGAGCGCTATAGGCCCATTTCTTTTTATTTATTTATTCGGGGAGGAGACGCATATATGTGCACAATCTTCCGCTGACCGGGATTTATAAAATGAATTCTGCGCAGGGTCTGGCGTACGCACGGTTTTATAAGTCTGATTTTTGGCTTTCGGGCGCACGTACACTTTTAGTAAGGATCCTACGCACAATTTTATAAATGAGACCCCAGGTGAGCACACTCAGAACAATGAAGACTTAACGAGGGCTTAAACAAGGGGGCGTGGTCACATGAAACAAGAGGGCGTGGTCACAGGAAACAAGGAGGCTGGACGGGAAGAGCACATGGCCAACACAAACAGAGACATTGAACCAAGACAAGGCAGACAGATGAGAACCCTGACAACATAATACTTAAGTGGGAAATGATGCTTAAGGGAAACTTGCCTAGAGATAAAGTACGACTTTTAAAATTGTACTTGAAGCTTTGGGAAACCCAGCTGTCCTCTAGTGCTTAATGGTGTAACTTTCATCCAGTGAGGCGAGTTCTTTATGTAGAGCCTTACCTCTCACTGTGAGATTGGTGGAGCACTCTGCTCTTCCCAGCTGGTTCTCAGCGATGATTTTATACTCTCCCGTGTCTTTGGGTCCAACCCTGAGAATGAGCAGGGAGCACACTCCACAGGTGTTAGTTATTAAGTAGTTGGTGTTAGTGTTGAGGCTGACGTTGTCGCGGTACCAGGTGATGTGGGGTGCAGGGTTGCTTCTCACGGCACAGCTCATGTAGCACTCATAGCCTTGTGGGGCTGTGTGGATTTTCAGGGGGACCATAAACCTCGGAGGCTTCTCTAAGTTGCAGGTCTTGGACTCTGGGATGGTCAGTGTGAATTTTTCTGCAAGAGATGGAGTTTGATTAACTTGACCTTCACATGTCAGTGGGTGGGTGAAGGATCACATTGTTGCGTGTGTGCAGGCAGAGTGTCCACAGTAAACAGACACTGTAAAAAAAAATGTTGTTTCAACTTAAAAAAGTAAGTGTCCGTGCTGCCTTTGAATTTGTAAGTTTAGTCAACTTGAAATGTGAAGTTGTACTTGTGACAACTTGGATATTTGAGGTGACTAAACTTAAAATTTGAAAGCAGCACAAACACTTATTTTTTAAGTTGAAACAACCTTTTTCTACAGTGTGTGGCAGAATGTGCATAAGACCAAAGAAAGCCTATACTGTGGTTCTCAAATGGTGAGTGGCAATCCAAAAACAGGTTACAGGTCTGGTATGGTTGCGATAGAAGGGTCTAAAAGCAAACAATAGAATGAGACTAACGATATAGTGTTACCATGTAGAATTAGGGTAGCAAAATAAATCTGCTTTTTTACTTTCAACACATTGGCAGTGGAGAAACCGCTTCCCACCATTTGTTGTCGAAAGATATTAAATCAAACTGTATTTTGCGCCCAACGTCAGATACAACATCATCTCAGATATTTTACCTTTAGTACACATAGCATATTACTTTTATTTACACTTTATGGGTAAATAAAAGTATTTATAGGGCAAACAGTATCTACCATGATTTGCACTCAGTATAAATATCAGTATAAATACCTTTTATAAAATGACTGAACATACATAATGCTTGTAGTTTGAATAACCACTCCCTATATCACAAACCTTTCTTTCTTGTGATTAGCCATTTTGGTGACTCAGAAGGGGCAGACAGACCAATGTCATTTTTGGAGTAGACACGGAACTGGTATTCTCTCCCTGGCATGATGTTACAGGCTGTGAAACGGTTGTTGAAGATACGGTCTGCTACAGTGTGCCAGGTCCTCTTGGTGGAGTCTCTCTTGGTCACCGTGTAATGCAGGCGATCATCACGTTTCTCGTCTGGAGATGGTTCCCAGGAAACTGTCACCGTGCCCGGAACGTTCTCGTCCAACTCTATGGGACCTGGGGGCTTTGGTTCGTCTACATCAAAACAATCAGTAGTTCATCAGGACTGGCGGATCAAGGCTATTAGATGTACATTCCTATAGAGCAAGCGTGGTGGAGCATATTTTTTTTTTTTTTTTAACTATCTACAAATCTACACTGCCATTTAAACTTTTGGGGTTAGTAAATATTTTATTTAACAAAAGTGACAACAATGATTTTTACATTGCTTTGATACATTTCTATCAATTTTGAACTTTCTATTTATCAAAGAATTAAAAAAAGTATCACAGCTTCCATAAAAAATGTAAGCAGAACGACTTTTTTTCACATAATAATAAGATGTTACTTGAGCAACAAATCAGAATATTAGAATCATTTCTGAAGCATCATGTGACTCAGAAGATTAGAGTAATGATGCTGAAAATTCAGCTTTGCCATCTCCAGAAATAATTAAAAAAATGTATTACATTAAAACAGAAGACAGTTATTTTCATTGTAAAAATATTACTGTTTTTACAGTAAATTTTGATCAAATAAATGCAGCCTTGGTGAGCATAAGAAACTTTTGAATGGTAGTGCACATTTCACATTGTTATTTTTTGTTGAGTATGTTAAAATAGCTCTAACTGTCCCTAGCTTAATATGTGGAGACTATAAGTAAAGCCGGGCGCGATTTGGCCGTCTGAGATACATTTTGCCAATACTAAAAGAATCCTCTGATCTTAGGCTAAAATCTGAAGTCTTTGATTGTTAGTTTGACATGTTCACTGACAGCCGATTAATGACCGTTGCGATCAAATTTGACCTCAGACGAAATTCTGTCAGTGTCAGAAGATTTGACTCATTTCTTTGTAGCCACCATTCCAATCCCGCGAGTAACGCAGCTCACTGTCACCGAACGCGTCATTGATTGATGATGTAAAACTCCGGACAAGTTTTCTTGCATGCATCCCTTTTTAACGCGTCTTGACTGTCGTACAGTCTGACATTAATGACAACTGAAATCTTACAGTGTGACATGGCTTACAGCGATGATCATGTTCGTACAGTCTGACAAGCAACAATCGTAAAGGACTATTATAAATCGCACAGTGTGCATATGGCTTAAGTCATTCATATGATGATTTCCCTGAAAAGTATTCTATAAGCATTCAGTGGCTACTATACTTACAAAACATTGATCTGATTGTTTGAGAATTCTGACCAGCCCAACATAGCAACACGGTTTGACCAATGGTGTGAATTGGGGGCGTGGCTGTTTTGAAACCAGTGACAGACTGGGACCATTTAGGAACACAATTTTTCCGTTTAGTGATGCTACAGTTGTGCCACAGAAATCACAAACTATGTTTAAATGATTTAAGATGGTATCTTAAAGATGATCAAATACACACTGGTTCCCTCATTTTACCTGTAACTCTAATCTCAATACTGAAGGTCTCTTGTCCCACAATGTTCTTTACTAGGATGGTATAGATTCCTGTATCGTTACGTTCTGCAGATGGGATCAGGATCTGAGAGCCCCCCTCAGCATTGCTAATAGTGACACGTTTGGACACAGGGACACCATCTTTAAGCCAGATGACGTCAGGCCAAGGGGAAGCCTGTAAAAAAAAAAAGTAATATATAATAGGACATGTATCGGACATGTGGCCTAAGCAAAACATAGTTTTCATGAGGGGAGTTGGAAGGATCTGAAAAGTGAATGGGGAGGGAGCACATTATAGCCTGGCTCATGAATACTAATTAGGCTAAATAACGGTCAGCAAGTAGTCCCAAATGATTTGCTGATGCAAGTTGAGAGTACATTTTTGATCAGGGGATCGAGGATGTGTAACAGAATTCTACACAACAGCGGTTACATTTTTTTTTCGCTTCGTACCACAGGCAATATATTATGATTGTCTCCCAAAAAGTGACTTATAAGACTTATATATCATAGTAATAAAGGTTGCTACACCCCTGGTTTGGTCTCTAAAAGCATGATTTTAGTATTGCTCATTACCTCAAAGTTGATAGTGACTCGTGCAGAATTTCCTGCTCTGACCACCATGAAACTCTTGATCTTAGCATCTGTGAATCTTGGTCTCACTGAGAAAAAATATTGCATTAATGGCGTGACATATTCGCACAGTGATGGAAAATGAGAGGTAGATCAATTTGCATTGCTGGCCATATAGACCAGTTGATGCTACTCACCTGGAGGAGGCATAGCCAAAATGTAGTTGTCCAACTCTTGTGGCTCTCCCTCTCCACCTTCATTGGCGGCGACCACTCTAATCCAGTACATGGCCATTGATTTCATTCCCTTTACAGTGTAGGTGCTCATGATGATGGCATTTGAGTTGCATCGATCCCACTCTGGGTTCTCAGTAGGTCTGATTTCGACAAAGTACCCCTTGGCCTCATCCTGAACCCCAGGGTCTACTTTTGGTTTAGTCCAAGACAAGGACAAAGTATTGTAGGTGGAGTCCGTGACTTTAAGGTCAATGACTTTACCAGGGGGTTCTGATAGGATATTGAGAAAAAAGCATTTGCATGAGCAAATTTTGAAAGATTATAAGAGAAAATAGGGAGAAGTGCAAATTAAGTTCAAGTGCAAATTAGCTTGTTATTCCAAAAAGTCTGACGTAAATCCAATATTTTTGCATATCTTTGAGGGGAGGCCATGGTTAATTTTTCAAAATGCACAGCCTTGAGAATACTTTTGCTGAATCTTCTCTTTTTGAAGATAATGAGCTGAGAAATGACTTACTTTTTGGATCTCTTGCGAACACAAATTCTGAAGGGTGACTTGCTTCACCAGCTCCAGATATGTTGATGGCGGACACACGGAATTCATACTCCATTCCTTCAACTACATCTTTTACAGCATATTTCTTTGCTGTGGAGGGTTATTGACAGGTTAAACATTACTATCAGACAGTAGTTCACAGTAATTTGTGTAGAAATGTGAGAAACCAACCTTGGATTGGCTGGTCTGTTGGATTGACTTGGCCCCACAAGTTGCTGCCCTTCTTGCGTTTCTCTAAGTTATAACCTAAAATATTGGTTCCTCCGGTGTTGGACGGGGGAGTCCATGTCAGGTTGATGCAGTCTTTGAAGGCACTGGCTACTTTAGGACTAGATGGCTGACCAGGATATGCTAGAAAGAAACACAGTTGACAGGTTTTGACCTTCTGAAATAGTCTGGATGGTGACTGATAAGCACAGAAGTACCTCAGAGATTTTTTTTTTGTAAGTCACCTTTAGTTCCAGCCTGCACATCCTCTGTTTCCATCAGTTCACTGGTGCCTTCATCACTCTGGGCTCTGATTCGGTAGCAGTATCTCCTTCCATGGTCAACATCAGTGTCTTTATAGTGGGCTTCACCTGGAATCTGGCCTATTTTTTTCCATGTGTTGCGTCCAATTTGGTTGCGTTCAAGTATGTAATGTTTAATAGGGCAACCACCATCATCTTTTGGTGGTCTCCACTTGATCTCGATGCTGTTGGAAGATGCTTCAATGATCTCCAGAGGTCCAAGTGGGATGGTAGGTTTATCTAAATGAGGTAAAAACTTGAACTTTGGTATATGCTGAACAAAATGGTGTATAAACTTGTTACCAATCTGTGCTACATTCTTATACTGCCTGTTTAATTAGTTAGCTTTTTTTACTTACCAAGTACAACTAGGCTAGAAAGGGCTTCCACTGTGCCAAACTCATTTTTGATTTTGATTTTGATTTCCCCAGTGTCTTTACGCTGTAATTTGGTGAGAAGCAGACGGCTTTCACCCTCTGAAATCTCAATCTTGCAGTGAGTGTCTGGCATGAGCTCCTCACCATCTTTGTACCACTGAACTTTGCATGGCTCACGGCCAATAAAAGGAACTTTAAAGGTGGCTTTCTGATTGTGTTTGATCACAATTGGTTTTGAAAATACTTCAATTTCCTTTGCATCGAATCTTGGTGGATCTGAACACACAAACAGAATTATAAGTATAAACGTGAAATTCATAACATTTGCATATGCATTAGCACAAATTAGCAAATGTTAGAATACAAACCTTCAACTGCAATCTCACACTCGGTTTTACGCCCATCAGCCTCAAATCGATATTTTCCAGCAAATTCTTCTGTTACTTTGTCAATTTTCAGTTTGTGAAGGACTCCGTCTTTACTGATGGTTATACCCTCAGTGCCTTCAGCAATCTACAGAGAAAAGTAAAAAACAGTGTATATGTGTTTACACACACCATGGGCCAGATTTACTACCAGCTTGCGCCAGCACAAATCCTCTTTTGGCATTAAAAAACTACTGTCATGATTTACTAAAGACACACACTGTGAAAAATGAACGCTGAAAAGCTGTGGACAGGGTTATTTTTGCTGCTGACCTTATTGAGAATGCATTTGTAGGACTTTCCCTTTCAGACGCAAAATTTATGGAAGGAGAGTATTTAATTGAATCATGCAAGGTTTGCGCTAGTCAATTTACTGGTATTTGCACCATTATTTATTGGGCCAAAAAAAGCATGTCTTAAAACAGACGCTAATTTGCGCAGCTCTTCGTAGATTTCGTTGGCCATTATGGAAATGATACGGCTGCATCTGTGTTCTTTAATTTGCTCGTCGTCAGTAGATCATGCGCAGAACTTTCCACTCCCGTGTGTGGAACACACTTCCACACACTTGTGCTCACATGCTAATTTGCCCTGTTTAGTAAATCTGGCCCCATATGTCATGTTATACTTTATAAACATATAATATGGCATCTTTATACCTCGTCGCCATCTTTGGACCAGACACCCTCACAGTCAGCACTGAGTTTGCAGACCAGTTCAGCCGCCTCTCCCAAAATAGCTTTGCAGTCTTCCAGCCCAGCAGAAAAGTAAACACCAGGATCTACAGGTGATTTGTGTAAAAAAAAAAAAAAAAAAAAATAGATGCATGGGAATTAGTTTTGATTATTGTTGATTATTTGATTTTGATTTATGGGTCAGATGACCATTGTCTCGGTATCATCTTCTGTGCTGACTTACAATCTGTATCTTCTTAGAACCCATGTTATGATGATAATGATAATTATGAAGCATTTCTGAAGGGCCGCTACACATTTCAACTGACTTATTTCGAACTGCATTGTACAGTCATTCTTTTCATTACAATAGTCCATAATTATAATTTTTGGGTTAAGTTGTTTAGTTGAGATAATTCTCTGAATTAGCAGTCACTAACTATTCAACAACTTCACCACTACGGGGTGTACACAAATAATTGAAACCTTTGCTTTTGGTTGTATTATCAAATATTGTTGCTTTTCTAATGACAATTAGAATACTTTCCAGTTCTTTTTCCATTTTGTATTGTTTATTCTCTGGATGCCATCCAAATGGAATGTGTTCTTGTGGTGAATTTGCTCTAAAATCTCCTGGTAAATGATTGAGTCACTTTCGTGTGAAGAATGCCAAGTGTTTTGGCAATTAATAATCTTCCTGGTATGACTTCTGTTTGAATCTTCGGGTCTTCTAAGGCACATCAGATCTTTGTCTTCTCATAATTAAAGTTTGTGAGGTCATATTAGGTTGCATTTATTATTATCATGTCCCGGTTCCTCTGATTAGTGAGCGAGGTGATTTGCCTTTAAGATGAGCAAGCGTGGTGAGGACAATACAAGCGCATACTGATATACACAAACAGCAGACACACAAACGGTGCATTAGAAATATCTGGCACACTGCAGACTGGGTGGATACTATTTTTTTAAACCAATTTATTATTGAATCTTACAAGAAAACAGACATTTTTTCACAAAGGTATTGGTCCCCTCTCCATTTCATTCATTTAAAGGAATAGTTTACTCCGAGATGTCACTCCAAACCTATATAATATACACAAGTACAAATCAATCCAAAACAGAAACTTCAAAATTAATGAATTAATCAATTAATTAAAACATAAAAAAATTAAATAAAATAAAAAATGATATCCAGTAGTGTATGTGAGCATTCTTTCAAAATTATTTTGTCTACCACAGAAATAAATAACAGCATACAGGTTTGGAATGACATGAGGGTGAGTAAATAATTACAGAATGTTAATTTTTGGCTGAATTATTCCTTTAATAAACAAAGTTATCCAACACCCACTCGCACCCAATGTGCAAAAAATATCTCCCGCCTACTCAAATCAACTGAGCTTGCTCATCAGATATGCCTTCACAATGTTTCAACAAGCATATTTTCTGAAGAAACTGCTGATATGAATATATGCTGCTTACAAACCCAGTTCTATAGCTATTGAAACCGAGGGTATGATCTTTAAATGAAGAGGGCTTGGGACAGTGGATCTGACAAAGTTTCTCAATGAAAAGTTATCCAGGAAGCCGTAAAGTCTGTGGTAAGATGTTTGGTCCTGCAGAAATAAGACCCAAAACATAAAGCATGTCTAATAGTTGAATTAAAGCTAAACTATTAAAAAAAGAGACATAAATCCTTTGGGGATGCTGTGGTAGTGCGACAATTAAATGTTTAATAACCATCCACTCAAGTTTTCAAATGAACAATGTGCAAAAATGTCTCCATAATTATGTAAAAAACTTGGAATAGGAAGTGTTTGGATAACTTTGTTTCAGATTGTGTGATTGAATTATAGATTCAGATCTCCAGAGTTATTCCTGATTGTTCTGAATCACTGTAAATAATGACATTGCTTCCATGCAACTGTCACTGAAAACCCAAAACATCTCTTACCAACAACTGCATCCGGAACCTGTAGGCCATGTTTTTTACGGCCTGAACGCTTGCCAGCTTTTGCTGACTCATCCTTTTCATCTTCAGCACCTTTTTCTTCCCCTGTAGCTTCAGTGCTGCCCCCTGTTGGGCCTCCGGGACCTGGTGGCTTCCCAGGTCCTGGTGGGTCCCCAGAACCTGATGGGCTGCCAGAACCTGATGCGCTACCGGACCCGGTTGGGTTCTCGGAACCTGAAGGGTTGTCAGAACCTGACGGGTTTCCTGAACCTGATGGGTTACCGGAACCTGATGGATTACTGGAACCTGATGGGTTGCCAGACCCTGATGGGGTTTCCTTATCTGATGGGTTACCTCCACCTTCAATCATGCCATTTGGTCAGATGTGAAGCATTTTGAAGATTGACATCAATATAATAAAGAGGGTTGAAAAGAACATTTAGGATAAAAAGAAGAACACACAACAAACAAGAACATTTAAGAGAACAGTGACAAAAACAACCACAAAAAATGCAAACAATGAACATTTTCAGAGGTCCAGCCTCTAAACGTGCTTTAGAGTGAGTGTATGTATTTTGTTTCTGTTGTGTCATGAAGGGTTATTCCACCCACAATGAAATCTCATTGGTCCAAAATCCTGCTACACATATCTGTGTATTAAGCATATTATATATTATAAATCAATTTATCAAGATTTATATGCCATAGTACTATTAATGACTATTTTTTTACAAGAAAGTTTCCTGAAAATTCCAGAAAAAGTTTCCAGAACAAAAATACTGCACAACCAATCAGAACATGATGTTATGCAGAGCTTGATATGTGGCCAATGAGATTTCACAGTGGGCGGGGCTACCCAGTGTGGCACCACAGATATAGAAACCAAACAACCAGAATATTGCTTTCGAAACGTTACACACTGACTCTGAAAAACACTGACACACCACACAAAAACACACAATACAGGTACACGAACAACAAATAAATGAAACAAACAAACAAATAAACAAACAATAAAGACAGACAAACCGAGCAGCACATTAAGCTGGTTTGCGAATTTGTGTGGTAGAATATACATTTTGAAAAATGTTAATTTTATCGAACATTCGATGATGGAGAAAATGAAAAAGATTTATTTTTTGATGTAGAGTTTTTAGTTTTATGTTGTCATTTTACTGGTTCATATTATTGGAAATTGCATTAGTCTCTCCTCTCCTCTGTTAAAAGTAGTACTACTTAAATATACACATTAATTAATTACTGAATATTAATAATCATGCTTAAATAATTATTATTTTTAAAAAAGTTAATTCACATCAAATGTTCTGTTAAGATTGTATCAGTCATTCAAGAAACAAAAATGTTTGTGTTACTGTTGATACTTAATGGAAAAGACAATTTTTAGTTAAAAACACTATTTAGTTTCTGTAATCATTTTAATATGAGCTGGATTTAGTGTGTTCATCCCACACTCTTACCAATCACCGTGTCTGGTATCAGTGGGCCTTGTCTTACACGGGTACGGCCCACAGCTTCCCCTTCCTGCTTACAATGCTCCTTGTTTACATCTGGAACTGGGCTGGGTGTGTTTGAGTTTCCTATCATGATTTTTGATGTAAACTGTAAATTAATCAACATAGGATGTGTAACGATTTGATTGTGTGTGTGTGTGTGTGTGTGTGTGTGTGTGTGTGTGTGTGTGTGTGTGTGTGTGTGTGTGTGTGTGTGTGTGTGTGTGTGTGTGTGTGTGTGTGTGTGTGTGTGTGTGTGTGTGTGTGTGTGTGTGTGTCCAACTTGAGCTAAAAACACCTGCAGGATGTAGGTGTGTTATGATGATAACCGCTTATGTTTGTGCAGAGTAACATCCGCTTATAAGCAAACAGAAAGTTGTGCAAAGATGTGCACAAAACTAAGTTATATTGCAAAAGCCTGTTAAATGATGGCAAACAAGTTTTTAAAAGGGTATCAAAATTGCTGTTGATTTTAGAGTTGAATAGCTTATGTATAATGTATATGTATGTATATAGCTTTGTTTCAAATTACATAACATTAAATAATATATATGACAGTATGATCGTAGACTTTTACATTATCAAAACAAATTACTTCAAATAAATGCTGTTTTTAACTTTCTGATTCTAATTCATCAAAAATATTTCTGAAGGATCGTGTGACACTGAAGACTGGAGTAATGATGTTGAAAATTCAGCTTTGCCATCACAGAAATAAATTACATTTTAAAATATATTTAAATTGAAAACATTTTAAATTGTAACAATCTTTTACAATATTGCTGTTTTAACTGTATTTTTGGTCAAAATTAAATTAAAAATGTCAAGATGATTCTGTTTTCTGTAAGAACCAACCACTTTTGCCATGTTTCAGTACATATTTTAAAAATTAGAGATAAAAGCGAGAAGAAATCTAGCGTATATATGTTTTGTTTCTCCTTGTATAATCCTTGTATAATTTCTTACCTATAACAGTCTCGGGTACAAGAGGTCCTGCTCGCTGACGCTTTTTTTCTTCTTCGTCACCTCCTCCATCACCACCGCTTCCACCAGAGCCATCAGCTCCTCCAGCCCCACCAGCAGCTCCAGCTCCACCAGCACCACCGGCTCCTCCAGGACCACCAGCTCCATCAGCTCCACCCGCCCCTCCAGCTCCACCGGCTCCTCCAGCTCCATCAGCTCCACCGGCTCCTCCAGCTCCATCAGCTCCACCCGCCCCTCCAGCTCCACCGACTCCTCCTGCTCCATCCACCCCTCCAGCTCCACCGGCTCCTCCAGCTCCACCGGCTCCTCCAGCACCTCCAGCCCCACCGGCTCCTCCACCTTCTCCGGTACCAGTAGCTCCTGTAGCCCCCACCGCTCCTACCGCCCCTGCAGCTCCACCTCTACCTCCAGCTCCAGCCTTCTCAAGCATTGCTGCCTGTGCAGCCATTGCAGCACTTGCCGCAGCCCCCGCCGCAGCAGATTGCTCAGCACTCAGGCCTTCACTTAAGGCCTTGAGTTCAGCCTGCTTCCTGGCCTCTTCCTGAGCTTTGGCTTTGGCTTTAGCTGCTGCAGCCCGTGCCGCTGCATCTGCCGCGGCTTTAGCATCGGCCTCAGATACACCTTTGGCTTTAGCTGCAGCAAGAGCATCCTCTGAAGCTTTAGCAGCAGCTGCGGCCGCGGAAGATGCAGCCGCCTGAGCGGCCGCTTTTGCTGCTTCGGCTTCAGCTGCAGCTTTAGCTTTGGCTTCAGCTTGAGCTGCCTCTCGTTCAGCCTGGAGTTTTTTAGCTGCCTCCAAAGATTCTGCCATCTCTTTCTTGTGCTTCTCAGCCTGCTCAGCAGCAATCTTCTGCAAGTCATCTCCAGCTCCGCCTGCCTGAGTGGTTTTACGGGCTTTCTTCTTGCCCTTTGTTGCTGGATCTTTGTCAGCTGGTTTGGAAACAATATTACCAACAGATTCAGATAGTGCTTATTTCATTTATTAAGGATTTACATTATGTTAATTTGACACAATTGATTATTAAAAAAAAAAAAAAAAAAAAAACTTTATTTGTGGACAAATTTTGAAAATATTGACATATGCAATTATTTGTGATTTATTTGAATACCTAATCAACAAATCAAAATTTGATTCGATTTTTTTAAATAATTGACAAACATATGTTCTAATAAAAGGGCTGTGATCATTTGTGATTGATTATTAATCTGCATATCATGCAATTATTAAAATTATTTTTCCATTCATATTAGACAGCCCAGTTGTCTAATAGAACGGCAGTCAATTTAAATTTGACTGTAAATTTAGTACAATTTGGGGACTCACTTGCAAATAATAATATATAAGATAATTTGCTATTAATTTAAAGTGCCCCTATCATGCTATTTTAAAGGATTCTAATTTTGTTTTGGAGCTCTCCTACAACAGGTTTACATGCATAACAGTTTAAAAAACAGTTTAATTTTCTCATAATAAACATTTCACCTCACCACATTTTTAAATGATTCTTAAACGACTCGAAGGATGAATCAATCTCTCTAAATCCCTCCTTTCCACGAGGCTACTCTGCTGTGATTGGCCAGACGCCCCAGTCTGTTACGACTGGTCTACCGCTTTCAGCACTTGATGAAAGCTAAACTCCCATTACTATTACTGAACTTCAGCTTCGGAGGCTTCCTCCATCCTCAGCGATTGTACACACTGTGTACTCAACCCGAATGTGTATTCAACTCGAACCTCCATCACAAGGACGACTTGAGCAGGACGTTTTTTTACTCAAAGTAGTAAGAACAACAATCTGCATTAAAAGACAGTTAGGTAATAGTGGGCCCACAGCTGATTTGCAGAACTATTTCAGTAAGACAGTAACGTGAGATAGCCGGTTAGCCGGAAACTTACACAATATAAAACACAAAACTACATATTTTGAGTACTCGGTAGAAAATATATACATCAATAATTATTCATACTTATTGGGTACTGACCAACACATTCTCATCCTTTGGCGTCATATGGTTGACGCCATATGACATTTCGTCGAAATCTTACGCACATGGCATCCTTTAGCGTCAATATAACACGCACTGTTTTGGGTAGGTTTAGGTCTGGGGTAGGGTTACGGTTATGACGCCTTGGGATCTGCGTCTCATATTGACGCTAAAGGATGCCATGTGCGTCGGATTTAGACGAGCGTCACCTGTATGACGCCTTGGGTTCTGTGTCTCATATTGACTCTAAAGGATGCCATGTGCGTAAGATTTCGACGAAATGTCAAAAGCGTCACATGTATGACGCCTTGGGATGAGAACGGGCTGGTACTGACCTATCTTTCAAGAGCAAGCGTTTTACGAATCCCGCGTTGAACTCCAAGATTTGAAAAGCATTCGTCAGTAAAATTATGCGTTTGAGGTTGGGTCAAGTTGTTTGTGGGTGGACAATGTACAACATAGACGGGCATTGTGCAAATGTCTTATCTAGTGACGTGTAACCGTAACGCAGTGGGATTCGAATTACAGACGACTCGTTTAAACAGTTCAGAATCGATTATTTCTTTTGGGAGACAATAACTTTATTTATCGTGAACTTTCGACTTTACAACTTTGCAGAACGTTTACATTCACAAACAGCTATATTACACACTGGATGAAAGGGAATATTTGAAAAACCATAATAAGGGCACTTTAATTAATTAACGCATGATGATGTATTTATTTTGATTACATTTTTATTAATTGACAGAACTTTTTTCTAATAATTGAAAAAAAAGGATGTACTTACCTTCTATAATCAGCCAAGCACTGCAAGACTTAATGCCGGCTAGAGCAGCATAGATTCCAGCATCCAAAGGCATACAATCAATGATTCTCAGACGGTGGATCAGTTTATCCTCTGAAGAAGTAATCTCATATTTTTCATTGTTAGGGAGAGGTGTATTTTTTAGGGTCCAAACTATCTCATTAATGGGCTGAGTTAAGACACACTCGAAGATGGCATCCTCTCTCTCCTGGGCCGTCACCTCCTTAATCTTCAGGGCAAAGTCCACAGGGGGAACTGTGTGTTAAATATGGATAAACACACATCAGTCAATCCATGATGGCATTATGCATTCCGTGAGAGCACTGCTAAAAAGACCGGCGAAGCTGTTCACCACAGTATGTAGTGTTTTGGATGCTGGTGTACTGGTGTCTCCACTAGGCTCCATTTTCAATGGAAATACACTAGTAAAAAATGTGCTTAGGGTATAAATATTAGTATAATGTAGAGTAGAAGCAAAAAAAAACCAAGCATATGACAAATAAACAAATGTGCTGTGAAAACGTACTCTTGAAATCCGTTGAAAAGATATTGACACCCTCAACATCCACTTGATAGATTCCTGCATCTTCTGGATTGAGATTTTTAACAGTGAAGATATACTTCTTGCCAACTTGTTTTAGACCGTGTTTCATATCTCCTTCAGCTTCTTTGGTGAATGGAATCATGACACCATCCTGAACAAAAGGAAAAAAAAAAGCATGAATGCATTGCATCTAAAAAAATTAAAGGCTGGTGCTCATAATAATGCTGGCTGAATGGATGACACTAGTATAGCATGTTTTTTCTATATAAATTTTCTAAGTATTTTCATTTGCAAAATATGTGCAATATCAAACCTACATAGCCATGCAAAAATTATAAATAAATGTAATTAACCAGCTAACAAAATTGTAGTCAAAATAATTCAATTAATTTCGGGTTGGGTGACTTCAGTACAATGGCAGTACGCCACGGACTGAAGTATGAAGCACTGGCTGAAGCGCTGGAGGGCAAATATGTCCGCCACAACTCTACTGTTAAAATTTCTTAAATGACAAATTTATTTATTTTTAGATATGAAGCAATAGTAAGTGGCTGTCTGTCGATTGTCAGAGACAATTTCAATGTGTCTCTTCAGTCTTCACATGCTCAATATCATGCATTGATTGTTTGTAACTAGCATTGATCTACTATATCACACCTTAACACAGTTCTCACCTTGTACAGAAAAATGCGACTGTTGGGGTCTTTGAGCTCCATTTCCAGTTCAAAGGTTGCAGCACCCTCAGCCTTCACCTCAATGGGTTTGAGATTACTGAGATGTTGGATGAACTAAATCAGGGAAACAAACGGAACATAACAATTTGTCTCCACATGCAGTTGTGCATCCAGTCATGAAAATGTGAAAGCAATTCTTTGTGAAACCTTCTGTCATCTCTTTACCTGTGCCTGCTCCTCTTCTCTTTCTTTCTTCATCTCGACCAGTTTCTTTAGCATGCCACGGAAATCAGTGATTTTATACTCGACGCAAATGCTTTCGTAGTCTTTCTTCTCAGCACTCAGCAGCAATTCCCAAACTGAGTCGTCAATGTCACCTTCCCTTTTCTCTTCACTTTTTTTGCCAGCACTTTAAAAAGATTGTGATGACAAATATGAGGCCAAATGCTAGGACTTAACTGGGTTAACGTGACTGATGTTATAATATGAGATGGGCTAATCAACTATGGCAAGAATCATGCGTATGAATAGACCCTAATGTGAAACTGCACAGCTGATAACATGGCATTAATGTGTAATGTAATGGGAACAAATGTCTCACCCTTTCCTGAGGTTCTTTCTAAACTCTGTTGGGTCACCTACAGCTAACAAACAGAAGGAAATGAATGCTTATGTGCGCCATACTAGATGTCACACAAATCCTATTAAATCGCTTTTGGTATAAAAAAAAAACTGCCATCCTAATCTGAAGAAAATCCACTAGCAATATGTTGCCACAATTGTCTTACCTGTTTCAGACTTTTTTATTTCTTTGTCTTTTTTGAATCCAACTAAAAAGAAAAAGAAAAAAATGTGTTTGGAGCTTTTTTTCTCTGTTACTAGCTCTACTTTTTGTGAATAGAATAAGAAATGAGTTAATAATAAAAGTAACAATTAAGTCAGGGTCTTTAAAGGGGTCATCGGATGCTCATTTTCCACAAGTTGGTATGATTCTTTAGGGTCTTCATGTAAAGTTTGTAACATACTTTGGCTAAAATTCCTCAATGGTTATGTAAAACAACCCCCTTTTACCTCCTCAAAAACAGCTCTGTTCACAGCAACCCGTTTCGGTGCATGTCTCTTTAAATGATAATGAGCAACTGCTCACTCCACCCCTTTCTTCCGTGGGGCGTGTCGACACAAGACTGCCTTGGCAGACAGTATACAAATGGCTGAGGGAAATATGCTAATACGGGACAGTCCGTCAGCGGTCGTGGGCGGAGCATGAGCAAAATGACATCATATTGCTCAGAAAATCCAAACGGCTTGATTATTGAGAGTGTTTAGGCTTTTTGAGGATTAAAAAAAAAGAGTGAATTGATTTTTTTTATGGTTTTTATGGTGGTTGTGTCCACACACTGCAAAGACACATTTATATGCAAACACAATATAAAAGTTAATTTTGCATCCGATGACCCCTTTAAGAAATGTGTCCTACCTTCAATGACATTTAGGACAACAGTGCAAACAGCCTTCCCATATTCATTTGTGGCGTAGCATTTGTAAGTGTCGACTTCATCACCACTGACTTTAGGTATCTGCAAGTAAATAATCAGAGAAATGGGTTCGTAGCTTTGATTAATCTTGCATAATAATTGAATAACAATGATAATGAAATGAACATTTAAAGGTAAAGTGTGTAATGTCTGAGAATTGTAAAAAATAGTAATGACTGTTTCCAAACAGGTTTCTACCCCTGGTCAGCAAACAAGATGTCCCGCCCCAAAGTTGTGCCATTGGTTGTGACAATGTTGCTGTGTTAGGCTGCTCAAACAACAGAAAACAATGCCTTGATGGCACAGAGAAACTGAATTTACACTATCCGAGGGAATTAACCTACGAATGAGTCTCTTCTTATTAATCTGGGATATAAGACATATATTTTATAATTAAAACATTACACACTTCACCTTAAATATTGAGCAGTAGTTTAAAAGTAAGGCTAAAAGCCTGTGCATACCTCCAAAGTGTGTTCATTAGTTGTGGGGTCATATTTGTTCAGAAACTTTTGGGGATCATTCATTTCTCCTTTAGCTCTACGCCAGGTTACAGTGGGTGTTGGATTCCCATTCACTTTGGCTTTAAAAATGGCCAGCTTTCCTGTTTTACAAAGATTTAAATTTGAATTCTTTATCAGGTAAATATTGAAAGGCTTTCAAAAAACAAATTGTGAAAATTATTGGGGTGTAGTATTCTTTTTTCAGAAGTCAACATAGCTCTTGTGCCTTGACATCACTGTCCTTGTTTTGTCAAGTGTGTGTTGAGTTAATTACAGATTTTACAGTAATCTTACTTTCGTTCTTTTACAATTATGTGTACATTTATTTGTTCAGGTACACTACTTGTCAAAAGATTGTACACACTTAACTCAATTTATGCATCTCCATTATGAAAAATGGTTGATGGCTTGAATGCTTGAAATTAGGCAAACATAAATTGAGCCTATGTGTGAATTTCTGTGTAAAACAAACATTTTAATAACAAGTCAAACAAGTACCCGGCATACTGAAGACTATTTAAAATACATCCCAGTTGGTTGAGTAGATATCCAGAGAACTAGCAATATTTCATAGTTTTACCCCTGGTTTCACAAGCCTAGTCCCAGACTAAAATGCATGTCATATCTCAAAATATGTCGGTGCCATTGTTTTGTCTCAAGATGCACACCAGTAAAGGTTTTTTTCTTCTTTCTAAGGCATGTTTATAAAAGCTACTTAAATGTTCTAATTGAACTAAAGCCTGGCTTAATCTAAACCCTGTCTGTGAAAACAAGCCTTAATGACTTTATTATTCTTATTAGATGGGGAAAATCGCAATGATAAAAATGAGTGTGTTAGAAAAGGTTACAGTTTTGACACTAGTGAGTTTTTTTCTGAGAGGATCTTAATTGTATTGCAGTACCACACTAGCTAAGTCAAATAGTTTAAAAACAGGGAGAATAAATTGCACAAAATCCATAGCTTGAAAGGTCAGATGTCATTAGTAAGTGTAAATGAAAGGATGTATTACACATTTGTGGTCTTGCTCTGTGCATTTCAAACTAGCATGAAATGGGATATATGCTATTTGATTTCCTTCCCTCTGTGCATATATAGCTGTAGTCACATGTTAAAGCGGTAGGACAAGCAGCAAACCTGATAAATCACTCATACTGTAAGTTAAGTCTGTGTAGCTGCACAGCTTAGACATTTAGGGCAGTAAATCTGTGTGGTAATCCTCTGTACGTGCTCATAGCTTGTTAATTTCACATTCAGGATCGTTTAGCTCTCAACTGTCACCTCTAATCATATTTGCATTCACTTTTGCAGTTTCTTCTTCTTCTCTTTTTTTAATGTGCTTACCTTCTTGAATGGTTAAAGCGATGGGTTTACGTGTGAAGTCGGGAGTTGTCATCCCCTCAGGAAGTTCCTCAAGATACTGTGTAATCATAACACCAGGAACCTTAGATCTCCTTTTGATGCCTGAGAGAATCCACATGCAGGGTACAATGTCAGAACTTTGAGGGGAACAACAAAACAGCAGGTGCACAGTGACGTAACATGCTGACCAATTATATGCATGAATGTCTAGCCTATGTAAAAAACTATTTACAAAACTGTGTACAAAATACAATACACTTCAAGTTGGCGTTGAAATGTTTCCAGGAGATAATATCTAAGACATCCAATGATATTTGAACCATGAAAATGTCCTTCTTGATTTGCTGTACATGTGCATATTCTTGTTTTGCACATTTTTAAAAATAGAGGAAAGAAATGGGGAAGTTGTCACTTAAGTGAATATTCTCAGAGTAGGCTTATTTTTGAAAGTCAATTATTCATTTGCCTTAAATTTATACCATTATCACCCAAAAGATATAGTTCACTGAACACGCGTTGAACTTTGTGACCTTTTCTGTACTGAGATATGTTGACATAGTCTTGCGCAGCCAGATCTTTGCCTAGCGTCTCCTGCCCGTAAATTTAGGTATGCAGATTCTAACTGAACACATGCAGACAAACTTTTGGCAGAGTTTGCTTTATTCAACCTGAGGGTGGCGCTCTAATGTTGATTGACAGGCTTTGAATACACAAGACACATGCATAGATGTAGAATGCTAGCTTAGAATTGCCTTAATGTAGTATTGCCTCCGGATTTTGTTTTAGAACATTACAACTTATGGAGGAATTCCAGTGAGGAAAAGAGACAAACATAAAAAAAAAACACAACAGAACTACATAAAGGCTATTCACATGAGCAACATGAGTTTCAATTACAGGATTTATACTTTCATTCATTTTTTCATTTCATTCATAGAAGCGGATTGATATCGTCTTTGTTGAAATCCGCCCCATTAGACCTTATTCAAAGCAGCGCCATCTTTGATTTTTAACAGAAATGAAAGAGGCTGTAAGGGATAGACATGCATCTCTTGAATGGGTTGTACATGTTATTGTATACTGCAAAAATAGCCTATATTTTGTCAATGTCAGTAGACAAAAAACTCCCTACAATATTTAAGATGTGGAAAATGATGTGTTCTAGAAGCTTTATGCAGCTTTTTACAGAGGGTGCCATTGAAAACATGGTAAGTCTATCCCTCACAGCCTCGCTTTAATAGCGCTGCTCTGAATAAGGTCCATGGCTCCTAACAGAGCATCCTGCAGTTCCATTTTTCACCACAGATTTACATTGGAAAATTGTGGGGCGCTGTAGAGCTGGGGAGGGGGAGGACTCAGGCACCCTCTGCCCCCAGTTTATAGATGTCTTTGTTTTGGATGGATATTTTGGTGGTGCCCTTCACTGCCCCTACATAAGAGCTTCGGCTGCCTTTGCCTAACGCTATGACCTTCACAAGACTTTTAAAACATAGCATTTAGTTTCTCCTCTAAGGCGCCAATTGCTGCAGAATCGGAACTTTTAAACATGTTTTTTGTCCCTGGCAGACCGTTAAAGATCGCCACACACTATAGGCTCCCACCTCTAGAAGTCAGCCAATCAGATTCAGAATGACAGCAATCTGAACATTCATATGCACATGATATGATATGATATTCTGGATATCATATGCATGCAGATTCAGGTTGCTGTCATGCAATTACCTTACCTTGTCTCCTAGGAGGTAGAATTTCCGGTCCTGGTACAGTATAGCCACAACATTACAGTACAACAGCAACAAAGGAAGGGGAAACAAAGAAGGAGAACACAAAATTGTGAATCCTGGCTTCTTTTTTTCTTTGACAGGATTACGGACAAACACAAATGTACTCAAAAATACAACCAAAAAACACAGGACAAGGGAGAAGACGGGGAGATTAAAGCAATAAAACATAATTATTCAATCCAAAAGGGGGTTGAATGTGAGATTACAATAGACAAGACTAAAGAAAGAGCAGACAAACTGGGAAGGGAATAAAAGTGTAAGACCTGTTTCACACAGCATACATTAGCAGCAGTTTTTTTTATTCTGGCTATACAGTATTCACACTAGCCTATAGCTGTGAGTTTATGCAAAGCAAATTTCGGGTGAAAATATAAGATACTATAAACCAATCTGTTATTTTCAAAAATGGATTTTTTGATGTACTGCAATATATAGCAAATTACATGAGTGAACATAATAGCCTAATCACTTACGAGTTACATTTAGTAAATCTGGCATGATTTAAAGGCGCTGTGGAATACTTTATTTAGATTGGTCAATCACGGGTTTCAGCGGTGATCTGTCATTCATGGCAACGCTGTATCCTCATCCTCATCCTGTAACTGAAACTGGTTCTACTTTTATGTCTCGGGTCACAAATCAGTTATCAATTGTAGTGAACATCGACCCAAAGGTCTTGACATTAATATTACTGCAGTGTTCATCTGGTTGCTATCACTGATTGTTTTGTACATTGTAATGGACTATTTATTTATTTTTCTACGGAAGTATTAATAGAAGATGCACTTCTTTGCTTTCATTTGCGGTGTGAAACAGGCCTGGTATATTGATATATTATCACCCATCATAATAAAAAAGAAGGGGTTCATAAATAACATAAGAAAAAAAAGGAATAAAAAAATGTAATTAAATAAGGTAAAATAAATCCCCTCCTCAAAGCAAATGAAATAAATAAAGCAAGTATTAATCAAAGAAATAATCAAAGAAAATAAATGTTAAGTGGGTGGATTTGGTGGAAGTGAAAAAAAAAAAAAAACATGTAATGATGTAAACCGGTTTGTTGAAACGTAAGAGCTGTGAGTTGTGCATACAGGTTTGAATCCAGCCTGGTTCATTTCGCCCGCTCTTCTTTTCTCGCTCTATTTACTGTCCTTCACAACACAGACACTTCACATTCAGGTTGGTTGATGGTCGTCCCTCGCATCCATGGTTACGCGATTCAAAGAAACCCATGCTGAATGACAGCAAATGCTCACAGGGCTGTTTAGTGAGCTTCCAGATGAAGGGCACACTAGGCACTGATAAAGGCTCTGATTTCGTAAGCCACATTTACAGCCTCTTCTTCATTTGCATCTTGTGCACAGTGGCCAGTTTCCAAACCCACAACCTACGACTTTAACCAGCTGTTTGATCATTCATGTGTTTAAATAAATTTGTGTGGCTAGGTTAGATTCAACACTTGCTTTTATCTCGCTATCTTGCTCTTCGAACCCCTCAGGGACCGATATATTATTCACTTTGTCATGGAGAGGAGGTCATTAGATTTTTATCTGGAAAATCCGGCATTGCCTTTTAACACAGCTGCTTACCGTGGAAGAACTTTTCGAAATGAGACTCATGTCCTATCAAGTGTGTCAAATTCCATTGCTATACTCTCATCATTATGAATACAATGAAAACGGATTAACTAAATGACATCCTCCGGGAATAGTTACCATTAAGAAAGAGAAAGAATTACACAACAAAAGAGGAGATTTTTTTTCACCATCATCCGTGTTTCTCCACTAGCAAGTCTTCACAGAGAACATGGCTGGATTTGTTGTTTCAGTGAGTCAGTAATAGAGCTCTTGGACAAGGTTCGGTGCCGGTGTCAGCCTGCCAAATGGGAGAGAGAACAATTATATTGTTCTTACCGCCTTGCCCGGCAGCAGTTGGATCTAAAACCTTGGCTTTTTTCATCATCTTGATGCAGTCCAATGGCTCAAGAATTCAGAAGTATCTCTGGGAAAGAGAAAAGCAATATGAAAGGTCAATTCAATTTCAGTCTTATTAAACATCTGGAGAGATTAAAATGTTTGCACGGGATGCAATTAGAAGATGTATAAAAAAGCTAATTTAATAAATCAGTCTAGGATATGCGGCCCATGTGGTTCTGAAGAATTTATCCCCATTAAGCAAACACCTCGAAATAGGTGCAACTAGTATTTGCACATTTAAATAACCTATTAAGTCCACACAGTTTAGGGAAAAGAGCAATTCAGGTAAAATAGGCACAAAGACGGAGCAAAGTAGGACGGCAGTTATCCCATCTGTCGGGATGTGATGCAGTGTGACAGTGCGGTGCATTATGTTCCATTAGAGAGGCTTTGGGCCTAGTCAGCAAAACCTCCACGGCTCTAGTCATTCATCTTTTCAAATCCACTCACATATACAGTTCAGATCCAGTCAGTGTGTCCTCACTAGTATACCAGCACTAGCATAGCACTAATATGGGATTTTGACATGTCTGGATTTAACTGTCTACTGCAGGGAGACAAATTGGCTTTGAGGAGGAGAGCTGAAAATATTTTAGTGGGCATGTGTTCGAGATTTTTAGCATTGTTCCAAAACCTAGTGTGCTGTCTACTGCCTACATAGGGGGCGTCACACATGATGTACAGTATGCATCCATTTGTGCTGTTTTAAATGTGTTTTCTGTGAACACAAGACGGACATCTTTGACTCGTGCACTGAGTTTTTAGACACTATATGACAAGGTAGCTAGCTCCTTGTGAATCAAGGAACGCATCCTTGAATGTAAAAAGGGACCTAATTGAAAGAAAACCTTATAAGTGACTGAATTGCTACCCCGCATGCCACACAAATAGTGCTCGTTGCGTTAATCACTCACAATTGATTTCAACAGAATTAGCCGTTAGCATGTTGCTAAGATAACAGTGAAATATCTATGCAATGTATATATCACATACCTTAATATTTCAGTAAATATAGGTCATTTTTAATTAAAGGGGCTATATGTAGAATTCAAAAACCCTTGAAATTAGTGACACCGGTCATGGTTAAGTGAACTGCACCCAGCAACCTATTGCTTGCGCTTGCAAGCCCGTGTTTTGACCCGGAAATTCAGTACTAGTTTAGAAGCGCCCGCAACCATATGACAGTGGAAACACGGAAAGACAGATGGCGGGGAAAGAGATTGAGATATAGACTATATAGATCTGGCTATGTGTTTGAATTAATGACATTACAGTACATAATAGCTTTTTCTGCATTATCCTGAACATTGTAAGCATTCATTTCATGTGTCCTTGAACAGAAGAGAGACTCTCAGGAGCACGTGTAAACGTCACATCCTTTCAATTTTCCTGGCAAAAACATCCTTAAAAACATCTACAGGCATTAGACAACCTAGGATGTTTAAACTTTTTTAAGTTTCATTACAATATGTATTTTTTACACATTGGCACCAAAAAAGTGATTAATCCATGAAAATAATTACATATAGCCCCCTTACTTGAAACAATTTTCATGAATAGGTTTCAGTACTGAATAATATATATTTTTTTAATTCTTCACACAGCTCATCGCAGTTCATTACAGGATTCCCTCATTGAAAGTTAATTTCTCAATGAAAGCTAAGTTTGGCCAAACAAGGTGAAATGCCTACTAGGTAGGCAGTCGACTAGGTTTTGGACAGAGCTTGTTTATTTGGAATGATCATGTAGTCTATGGCCTTCAATGACTCTTGTCCTACTCTAGTCATTGACTCCTGCTAATGGTAGTCTCAATCTCATCTCAGAAACAGAACAACGCAGGTTGTTTTATGCAGTGGCTATCTTTTTTCATAAATAACTGAAATTGCATTCTGTGCTACATCAGTCATCTGACCGAGTGGCATATTCCAAACACAATAGCATGCTGATTGGCCTCTTATACACACTGCACAGGGCATAATGGGATATAAATGCAAGCGTTTTGTGGATCACAAGCTGCTGAAATCTGACATTTGAGTGTCATCCTTCAACATGCATGTGATTCATTGCACTCATCATTATGCACGGTTTGGCTTGTCATTTCTGTTGGCGTGAAACCTGCCAGCTATTATTTCAATTGGTTGCATCATGAATAACACTATGACAGTTATATTACTGCTTCCGATACAAATTTTGCTAATAATTATCAGCCTCAGTTTGAACAGGTGAATGCATGTACTGAAGTCATGTTAACACTTTACAATAAAGTTCATAAAATGAATTTGCATTAAGCATCGTGAACTGAAATGAACAGCATTCATTAGATCATTAATCTATGAGTGTTAATTTCTTCATACATTTATACCATTTAAAGTTGCATAAATTAGCATTATTCATGAATTATCTCATTAACAACAAACAATAGTATATTTATCAATTAAAATATCAACATTAACCTAGATTTATGAATACTGTAAAATGCTGTTTGATGATACCTTGATGATGATGCATTACAATAAGGTTCAATTCATAAATTAGTTCAAGTTTTACCAAAACTGCGATATCTATTATACCACTGGTCTCACCTGGTGGGTTTGATAGGGTCACAGATTGCCATGAAAAAACAAAAATAAAATAAAAGTAACATTTATACTTTGGCATAGCAAAAAAAAAAAAAAAAACATAAAAGCTTTTAATAGGGAGGAGATTATGCTTCCCGTATCTTTTGTTGTTCAACAGCTGTGCGTCCATGCAGCCAAATGCGTTATTTTGGTGCAAATTCATCTTTCACTTTGTAGAAGCAGCCAAATTCAGGCACAGGTTGAGACATTACCCATTTTTAAAAAACATAGATGAAAAATGACATAAGGTAGAACAAACTGGACCTAGACTATATTAAATACATATCAGTTTAAGCGAGAGTAAACATGGATTGTGCCAACCACAATTTGTTTTGGGCAGAGAGCACAAAACCATCAAAATTCAAGAGGCATGTACAAAACAAAATGGTCAATTTCCCTTAGTTTTGAATGAGAAACGCTTTCAGTATTGTGTGACTTGATGTCCAGTGTAAAATCTGGCTGCTAGAACAAAATTATTTGAGAAACACAATTCTCTGATTACAGCACAAGGTATTCAGAAAGACGAATTATTTGAACACCCATGCCAGTTTTCAGTAAGTCCTAAGCAGCCCTTGGCTTCAGCTCATTTTGGAAAACGAGCTATCTAACCCTTCTGAGCAAAATACCCCGACACGGAAGCTTGCCAAGCTGAGGGTCCTCAGTTTACACGCAACCTGAGCTTGACACCACTCAGCGCAACCACATGCTTATATGGGGACAAGAAAGCACTTCATTTCACTGCCATCTTGGGCATTCTACTCCTAAATGTAGGTATATTCCCATCTTACTTAACAAATTAGTGGTTTATTGTGCAAAGTTCGCCTGTGATAGTATAGCTTCCAGGGGTTTCCACCTGTATCTCAGATCAGAAGAACTGCTGCATAAAAGGCAGACATTTTCATCGTGCTGAGAAACCGATGAGAAGTTATGAAGCATGAGAAGCCATGCTTCAAAACATAATTGCATGCCAGCGGCAGGCCTGTATAGCAGTAATAACAGTGCATGAGTAAACTACCACTTCACACGACTATATGAAAAGCAAGTCTAATGACATGTTCAAGTTTTAAACCATACCACTAACCCTTTTTTCCTCTCTGTGAATTGCCCTGCTGACATGTTTAGTAGGACACAGTCATTTGTCAAATGATAGGCTACCATGCCAGCCTAGCGCAGCCCTCGGTTGGCGCTAGTTATTTACATTTCGAGAAACCGGCGAGGTTCAGTAAGAGAGCCACTTAGAAAGTAATAGCATGCATATCATCAACGTACAATGTATTAGCAAGGTGACATTTATGCGAACACCAATGGGTAAGTTGTACTTTCGGCTTTGCCAAGGGGCCTGTCTGAAATGTCTAAAATTATTTTTAGAGGTATTTAACCATCATGAGGAGAATGTTAATAAAAATAAGTCTAATTTTCACAACAGGGATTATTTTAGTAATCGCCTAATCCCAGCAGTGCATAAGTAGGTTTCTCAAACAGCACACAGCCAGGCATGCATTAAATGCAATATTGATGGGAGCATTAAGTCTATTTTTCCTTTTAGGGAAGGCTGGCAATGAGCCCCTCAGGTCTTAGACTGAAGCAACACATGTTTTAGGTGAGGAAATGACCACGTTATAAATCAGCCTGCTTGTCAGTACTTTATTTAGAGTACATAAGATACGATTCCACAGGGTGTTTAAGTGAGCAAAATGACCTTTAGTAATAGGCAAAGCCAATTTCGCTCTGTCTATCACCCTCCTATATTTCTCTGATTGGCGATAAAATCTCTTCCTCTGTCCTTTCAGCCTTGCCCAGTTAAAATGGCTCCTGTGGATAGACTCTCCAGGCTTCTCAAATGTCCCCATGCACCTCTTAACTCTGTGTGCAGATAAAAATCGGTGGCTCCCAGAAGACAACATTTAAAGATAAACGAACGTCTGCCAGTGACAAGCTTTACTGGTAAATAATAATTGCTGAGCCAATTTGTTGTTTCTTTCCAGTTTCTATATTTCAGGAAGAGCTTTAAAATGTTCAGATGTGTTTTCAGCACTTCGCCACATAAAGCATCAATGCAGATGCCAGCATTAGGAGTTTTTCACACTGAATATTTTAAAGCAACTCCCATAAGTACACATTAAGATTTTATTGTTCCATAAGGTCTTGTTGCTTTTTTCGTACACAGCTTCTACTTCATTTCTGTCACATCGATATTTTTGTAAATTCTGTTTCTTATAAATTATGTTTAATATGATATATTGAGGTTGTGTTTTTTAGTTAGTAAGTCAAATTTGAATGATTCACATTTCCAGATACGAAATAGGTCCTATAGTCGCTTTTATAATCCAGACGTTCTTTATTAGTATCCCACTTTATTGAACGTTACCCCATTACTTGCATGCTTCCTCTTTTTTTCCCCCACCATCGCATTTTTCATTACAATAGTATATTTCGCATGATTTGTTAAAAACTCAAAAGCACTGAAAATGATCAGTTCACTAATCATTCATAGGAAGATAATTTTTATCATTTTAAATATGTTACATGGCACATCTGTCATGGACATCTACCCAATGATTCAAAATCCTTCATGTACATTGGCTTCGGTTGATGTGACACTTGTATCTATAGTTAGAACATCTCTGATTTGACTTCATGCCACCTGACTAGCAGCTATCACAGATTCCAGACTCCGAAACCCAAGTCGGGAAGACCAACTCAAACGATTCTGATGTGTGGCCACCAAATTAGTCGTAAGAAACTGCATTTAAAACATCTATGTTATGGCCAATAATGTTATGAGACTGTATAAGTAAGTGTTTAAACCAGAAGAAGATACTTTTAGAGTTTAGTGGTGTCAGAACTCAAAGTAACAGGAGGTTGTCAGCTCTGCATTGTAAAAACTCCACAGGCATTATATTAAGTCAAAGTACATTCATAGTTCAGTACACCCAAAAGAGCGAAAAACTTAGTTTGTGTTCCATAGAACACAAGTGTCTGTTCAAAGTGCGCAGGGTGGTGAGAGACTTTGGCACAATACAAAGGTATAAAGCTCTTATTGTTTTCTTGTTCTTTGTGCATGTCTCTCAGTTCTGTCACAACAACAACAAAAAGGGTAAAAAAAAATCCATACCTGTTCACAGTTCTCTGTGCTCCTCTCTTGCTTCTTTCAAAGTGCTCTGGCCTCTTCTGATATTTGAGTGCTGCTTCCAAGTTGTCCAAGGTAATAAATCCTTTGAGTGTGTGTGTGTGTGTGTGTGTGTGTGTTGTTCCATGTATTCAACCTTGGCTTCCGCCAAAAGCAAGTTCTCCTATTGGAAGGGAGGGTCTCTGGGAAGAATCTTTATTCCTGTTGACACCTTATGTTATGTTATGATGAAATTACTTTTGAAATGATTTCATCTTGATCTTACCTGGGAAGTGCATAGTTTTACTTAAAAAAAAATCCATTTAGTTTTACTTCAGATTGACAGTCAAATGCCGGAATGAATTGTCGAATTGGGTCAATCATTATCTCAATAGTTCTGAAATAAAAACAACAACAACAACAATATATATATATATATCTCAGCAGTGTGGTTGATGTTTCTGCTCTTTAATTCCTAGTATTTTTTTTTTTTAAGAAATCATTTGCAATACAACTTGGCAAAAAACTATTTTATCTCACTGATAAAAAATAAAGCATTTTATGTACCTTTAGCTGCAGAGAAAACATGTTGTGATCTAATACAACAATATAGTGTTCTTACAAGCACCACTGGTTGTTTTTCAAAACAATCTCAGATTTTAAAACGTCATCTTTTTCAAAGTCCTATTTTTTGCAAGCTGCTTTCTAATATATCATCAGTGATCATTCAGTGAATCAAGCTGTAAAGCCCATTAAGGAAGAGGAGATGAGATTTACTGTTGATCATATTTTTTAAAATAAAGGTTTTTTTTTCGTATAGTGGAAAACATTCTTTCGATTATTAAAAGGTTCTTTACACTGAGAAAATAATGGTTATTTGAAGAACTCACTGAAAGGTTGTTCACCAAAATGGTTCTTCTATAGCATTGCTGTAAAAACCTGCTTTCTTTTGTGAAAACCTTTATTTTTGAGTGATTCACCTAATCTTTTTTTTGTTTGTTTTTTGCAAAGCCCTAAAAGTTTTTTTTTTTATGCACAAAATATCCAGATTGATTGGTCTAAGACTTTTGGACTTTATGCACGTATCTTATATATGTGACATAACATTATGAAGCAGCCTTGAAAAAATAGCCAATCATAAAATACATGACATTATTATTTTACATAATTATATTCATTTAGTAAACAATCCCCTAGGCAATTATGTTTGTGAGTTTATCATTTGGTTTCAACCATGGAGTGGAGCACAGATTGCATTTAGGTGTTAGGAAAGATACACTCCTCTCATTTCAGCCAGATAAAATAGGCATTTGTGTTAGAACATAAATATAATCTCCTCCATAATTATCAGCATGTGTTTATGGCCACATTTTAGATGTAAAAACTATAGTGTGCATTAGTGTGTCCATGTTAGTTTGTTGATACTCATGTTTCACTGCAATCTCCTTGACATTCTCTGCGTTCAGCTCCTGTGTACTTGGAATTAAACCCAACTAATAAACCACTGAATTGCGAGTGTAACGGCTTGGATGTTCTGAACAGCAGAACCACGTGAAGGCTGACCTGGAGCACACATGGTAAAATGTGGGAAAAGATGGCTAATCCTCTTGGAGTCATGAACGACATGACTCGACGAAAGGCCAATGGGTCACAAATTTTTATTACCTTCTCATTAAACTGCACCATGGCCTTGCTGCTAAGTCTACAAATGGAAGCAGGACGAATGTGTAACATTGTGCACTGAGCAAAGTTATGTAGGAAGGTCTACAGTGAAGAAGCGTGTTCTTTGTTGATGAGTGATTGATTGTTATTAGGCGCTCAGTTACAAATCGTACATATTGACCTTTTTCAGATTTACGGGTTTCTAAGAAGCGGAAGTCGTCATAGTTGCATAAATTTCCATGGCGGTGAATGAGAGACTACATTAGCTATTTATTTGTTGCATTCCCAAATTGTTAACTTTCAAAAAGAGGGAAAAAAATAGAGAGAGATTGAAAACGGCAGTCAGAAGAGAGAAAGATGTCAATTTTACCATCAGCCGCTGTATTCGAGTTTTTTTTTTTTTATAATTTTTTTATGCAAAGGTAATATAATAGAAAGTATAGTGTTACATTTAAAAATAATTAAAGGTGCAATAGGTGTTACAGATTTGTTGTTGTTGTTATGCTGGTTGAAAGTCTTCTCATATCCTGATAGCAATCACTATGTTAAGCAGTCTAAATGTATTTTTATAAATATGTATCATATATTCATGATTACCTGTGTTCGTGTGTTTTGGAGGAGGCGTGGCTTTGGTTGGCGATTTGCGGGGAGGGTGGGATCGTATGCTTTCAATGCTAGCAGGCTAAAGTTAGCATTTCCCAGATAAAATATGACTAAAATAAAATAAAATATGACTAACTTAGCAGGATTTACGACTCAACTTTGCTGATGACTGTTAAAACGCAGTTTCATCGTCTGTGAAAAAGGTCCATTGTTTTCACATCGAACAAATGAGTTCATAGTCAGAAGAGTGCATCGAATGAACAATAGCTAAACAGTAACTGCACTTGTCTTGTGGAGTATTATTATTTGATGACATAAAAAACCTTATAGTTTGACACTAAAACTATGTATTTTCCTTTTTTCTCTTTAATACACATCAACCTCTATGAAATGGGGGCGATGACGTAATCCCCAGCTATAAAAACATATGACCATTTCACATATTTGTCGGACAGTAGTCTTGCATAGCCAGACCTTCAGACTGACTGCAGAAGGTCTGGAAACCATATCAGATTTCATTGGCTAAGGACAGGCCATGAGGATGTGCAAAGCAACCAATCACAGTTCATTTTGTTTAGAGTCATGTTTAGGTGTGATGTCCCTAAAATAACAGACTGGCGTGCATTCATTCAAGAAAGGTTTGCAAGTTTACTGCAACAATGTGAACTTCACATACTTTTGAAAATCCAGCATTTAGTTGATCGAAGCGTTCATTGTTACAGTTGTAAACACGATGGTATTCTTCTTCAAAGAGAGGTTTGGTGTTAAAACGGCTTTAAAACTCGACACACACTTCTCCCGGAAATCCTGGAGAATTCAACCAATCAGATGACGACTGATTGAAACACCAGCAGTGTTTCCCATTTTGTGTGCCATATGCATCAGACGTTCAGCCGACGGTCCGTTGGTGTTTCCCTAGCCATGACTGCGTCCATACACTCCTCTTTCGCTTTCTCCCTGCTTTTTTAGCGCACATAAAACCACGATTGGCAAAGTGTGATTCATCTTGCTCTATTTGTTTACCACTAGCGCATGCTGATGACGTTTTATCCTTCTATACTTGCGTCGTAGCCTACGACTGAATAGGTGCCATCACCGTACAGTCTATACATACATGTCTTACCCAAGTTTATTAGATCCATGTTGTACACTGTAATTTGTAATCTTATAGGATTGCCGAAATCGCAAAGTATGTAGGCATAAAACACACGCTTATTGCGACTGCTTCATTAACGTAACAATCATTGCGACCCATTTAACAGATGCATACTTTTATGGTATGTTAGAGCAGCCTGAACCAGTGACAGACAATTACAATACAGTGAAATAAACAACTTACTATTATCAATTATCTAGCCCTCTTAACATGAATAAAAACTAATAACTTGAGCCTAGAGCTGCAGTCTTAGTTCTTCTCACATTTGACAAAGTTCATGTGTTAAATGTGACAATCAAAATGTGACTGTGAAACAGATTGTCTGTAACTAAAATGTTGCTACAGTATATAGCCTAATATTAATGCTAGAAAGCCAATGCTTTGCACTTGGCAATTAGGCTAGATTATTTTGTTCATGGAAGCACTAGTACTCTATGCAACAATATGCACCATATTATGTTAAACATGTTATAAACTTAATATTTGCACCTTCAGTGATGCTTTGCATTTGGTTTACAAGTTTCCATTTATACGATCTCTAACGAGTGAACACAGCTGGCGGCCCTGGTAGTAAATGAACAATGTTCAGAATTACAGCATTGCCATACACACTGAATGCCATGTTGCACGACTATAATGTTCTGCATTGTTGTCTCTGTTGTATTCTGTTCTGAAGTTCAAAAGGAAGTACACTTAATGCTGCAAGAAGTCATGATTTTTAATTAATATATCCGTTATAGAAGATCTAACAGAATATGTAGATTTTGGCATTAAATGACTCATGCTTATTAGCATTGAGAATACATATTTAAAGACATTTTTGTTACTTATTATGTCAAACTGTATTGTTTTAATATATTAAGGAAATAAAACAGATGCGATTTTTTGCATGAATCAATAAAAAAACATAATATGCAACTTGTAATTGTCTTGATCCGGCATTATTCTCTATCTAAAACCGCCTCACTTGTTAATAAATTAAAACATCTGTAGGAAATGAAAAAGTCAATTATTTTTTCCAGGGTGTTAATTTGTGGTGCATGTGCAAATGAGGATGGAAGTGGGAAAAGTCGGATTTCAAGGTGTTAACCAATCTGCAAATTAAGTGATTAGCCATGCACATTTTTATCTGGACTAACTAACAAAGACGAGTCATTACAATAAATGCATTTCAATGCAGACAAATATTTGTGAACTAGGGAGATAGTAGTTATATGAGACAAGATTTATCACTTTTGATCAGTCCAACATACAGTAAATCTTGGGCCATGTTCTGAAGGGCTCATTTGTTTGCATGTCTTCTTTCTAGACCTAATACATAATAATACATAGTTTACAATAAGGTTCATTAGTTAACTGTTAGCATGAACTAATAATGAAGTGCACTTATACAGCATTTATTCATCTTTGTTAATGTTAATTTCAACATTTAATAATACTTTATTAAAATCTTGTTAACATTAGAACAAACAATGAACAGCTGTATTTTTATTAAGTAATATTAACAAAGATTAATAAATACAGTAACAAATGTATTTCTCATTGCTAGTTAATGTTAGTTAATACATTAACTAATGTTACCTAATGAACGTTATTGTAAAGTGTTACCAATAATATTATAAACACACAAAGTAAAGTGAATCCTTTTTCGAAAGTAAATATGATATTACGGTAAAGAAATATTACAATGTCAAAAGATAAGTCTATGCTTTAGCAAGAGAGAAA